TAGCAATGCAGAAGGCTTCAAAAGATGTTGAAGATCACAACAGGCTTCATGTTGTTGTGATCTCGAAGATAAGAGCATCTTAATACACTATGAGTTTGATGGTGGAACAATTGATAGTGAATCAAAGGAGTGGTTCATAATCAGATGATCATGAAAACAACTGCAAAGAGATGTGCATCAATTTTGTGGCTACTCACATTATGGGTATTGTGATGTCGCGATCCCATGTCAGCGCATGTTAGAAAAAGAGAGAGGAGGCTTTGGCCTATGATAAGTAGAGAGATTCGACAGTTTGTTAAGTCCATAACTCAACCGATGGAGTAGCAATGTCATTGCTCTCAGGTAATTGTTGAGTTCGACAAGAATAAGCTCCATATAGGTCACTCATGTTGAACTCACAAACACATAAGATGTTTGTGAGCAATAAATAACTAGAATTAATCTAGCTCTAATACTATGTTAGAGATATGCTATAGAGAAAATGAGAGGATTATATCTCTATTCAATTGTGTCTAGCGCGCCCCCGCACGCACGCCCGCATATATATAAATAGTGAAGATTCTTACTATATATTGTTTTAGAAATCATTATATAGAAGTAATTTACTCAAATTGTTTTGAACTAACTATAAGGCTAAAGCACAAACTTAGGTTTGAATTGGCTCACAATCATTGCATTTCAAGCCAACGAATTTTATGATTGATCCATTGCATTATATGACTTGAAAATGGCTAACTTTCAATAGCTAGTAGATGTGATGTTTCTGATTTTGTGCGTGTTTAATCAATGGTTATAATGACATTAAATTATTATTTCGGCATTTATGAGTACACTTAATTTAGTTTCTATATATCTTATTGTCTATCTTTTAGTATTACGTAGAAATTTTGAAACTTTCTTTATCTTCACAATAGCTACAATGTGTGCCATTATTTATTTTTAGTAAGTGTTATTTATGATATCAACTTTACGAGTTATGTAGGATTTTTATTAATTTTCCCAAATTAGGTCCAATTGATCTTCTAATTTCCTTCTTGTAATATAAGAATTTCTTTTATTACTCATTACAAAACCTTCCTCTTTCTTTAAAAGTTGTGTGTAAAGTGCATCAAAGCAATTGTAGTTCTTCGTAAGGTGCTGTTTTGGCATATTCATTGTGTACATATACAAGTGAAAAAGGTAATAAAAAGAAATAGCTTTTCCCCTTTTTAAAATCATGAGCTTAAAAGATGTTATTAAAATTTTGAAATAGATTATTAAAATAAATTTATTAAAGTTTTAAAATTGAATAGATTTTGATAAATAAAATAAGTTGGCCAGCTACATTTTTATGATTCATATAAATGTTAAAAAAATTGAATTAAAATTTACATATGAAGATCTTTTTGGGTCATGAGATATAAAATTTTTTGAAGAAAATATGACATTTTAAAAATGGCAAATCTTATTGAGCCAATAATAATTTTAAAAAACTAATTTTTTTTAAATGAGGATTGTAAGCTACTTGGAAGCTATATCTCTCAGTACTTTGCTATTTGGATTTATAACTATTTTGATAATCTTTGAAATTATTTTTGCCTCGAAATAGATTTGCTCCAATTTAAAGATGACTTACACCACATATATGCATATATTTGTACATACATAGTACATAAATATTATATTTATACACATATTTGTAGGTATTTGTTATATTCATAATATAACTATAAATAAACATTCTATACATAAACATATCATAATTTATTTTTAGTTAAAAATATCTAATAAAATTAATATTGACTAAAATCAATTTGAAGTTTGTCTTGAAATTGATCGTTTTTTACTCATCTTCATTTTAATTTGAATCAAAATTGAAAATTTTGATTTAAAATTGAGTCTATCCACCCGACTCAATATCAAATGAAATGTAGATAGTGCTTAGTTTTTATTTGCCATGAATGGTATATAATCGATTAGTATAATAATTTGGTATAGTTGGCTCGAGGAGGAAAGAAATATGCTTGTAACTAGCGTTGATTGTAGTCGTTCAGTAAGAGTTTCGCATTTACAACTGTAGTTTTATAACAAGGCTTAACAATATTTTTATATCTATATTTTATTGAATGTGGATATGCTTGCAAACAAAAAAAAGTCATGCTATTTTGTGCATTTATGTAAAGATTATATATGTTTAGTAATTGATACATTTTCTACTACTAGCGTTGATTGTAGTCATTCAGTAAGAGTTTCACATTTACAATTGTAGTTTTATAACAAGGCTTAACAATCTTTTTATATCTATCTTTTATTGAATGTGGATATGCTTGCAAACAAAAAAAGTCATGCTGAAATTATTTTGTTCATTTATGTAAAGATTATATATGTTTAGTAGTTGATACATTTTTTAAGTTAAAAAAAAGGAACATTTGTGAAACCTTAGGCGATATGAGGCTTATGAGTTTAGAGAACAAAATGGCTTGAATAATTTATTGAAGCAAATTTCTTGATTATGCTATTGGTGGCAAGCCAAATGATTGTTATGGGGGGCATATTGAAGCATTTTGGATTTGCTACGTAAAAGAGTTTGAATATAAATGAGGACATAAATCATAGAGTTAAAACTTTATGGTTAAATTAAAAGTGTCTTAGATATATCATCAGAACTTAGCTCAAGAGTTTAGAATTATCAAGGTGAGAAGTGATAGTCGAACAGTAGTGTCATATCGGTCTAACATTTACTACAATCCACAAAAATCATCCAAATGATAAAGAAGTATTAAATTAAAATGTTTCTAATACATCATCTAATCCAAACAATAAAAATATTTAGTTGCAATAATAATTTTAATATAGAAACTTAACGACAAGATAAGAAGTTTGTATGATACCTATTTTCATCAGCTCATATTCTCCTCTAAACATATTCTATCATGTCAACAATTTAAATCAAAAGAAGTTCTTTTTAAAATAATTAAGTAAGGTACATCCATTTTCATTTCCGTTTTCAAGCCTTTTTCCATTTTTATTTTTATGCATGGTTATAATAGCATACTCAGCTAGTACCATAATGGGTGACTCCTATGATGGACTCATACAATTATTTTTTTATTTAAGTTTTATTTAATTTTTTTTCAATAATTGAAACATTTGTTAGACTTTAGTATGAATGAAAATTTTGGAACATTTTTAAAACATCAAAATATTCATTTAATTTGTTTTTGCTATGATGATGTAATTAAAAATAAAATAACTCAATTTAGTATGAGTAGAAAAGTATTTACTTACCTCAGTTGAGCTTGATGCTAAACTTTTTTAAGTTACTCAAAATAAAATACTCATCTTAATTATAGGTCGACTAAGTGGCTCGTGAATTGAGCTTGATGAGCTAACAAGCCAAGTTTAGCCAACTCCGACTCGGCTCATTAGCTCGTGAGCCAACTAATTTAAAAAAATAATCAATATAAAATACAATAAAAATAAAATAAAATTTTCAGACTCTAAAATTATTAAAAATGTTTAAAATTAATAATATTTTACATTTTATATCAAGTGATTTCTTATTATTTATCTCCTAATTGCTAATTTTATTTTTCATTTTTATTATAATATTAACTTAAATTAATTTTTTTTCCTTTCATAATAAACAAGCCGGGTCGATCTCATAGATAAGCTCAAGCTTGAATTTGATTAATTAATCAAGCTCAATCTTAGGCTGAGAATGGCTTGTGATCGACTTGACTCAACTCATTTACCCCCTTGTATCCGCTACTCTTTGCTTGATCAACACCCTCTCTCACTGATCATTCGTTTTTGTTTTGTATGGGACATTGTATCGCTTGTTTTTGTGTTGCAGCGTGATTAATCCTGTGGCCTCCCCATGTCTTGCTTCCTATTAGCAAAACTGAGTCGTTAGTTTCACTGGTTCAACGTGCCAATTCATTTTTTTTTTTTTTTCATTTAGGTTATTACAAGTGCTATGCTTTAGATGATAATCAAACGAACTTGAAGATACATGCTATAGCTTGACAATAAAACTTGCTAGGGTTAAACTTCAAACGGTCCTCTAACTAAGAGTCCCTCGCACTTTGTGCAGCCAATTTAGTTCCATAGTGTAACATCTCTTCCTCTCAATTATAAAACGAATGAGATCAAATTTTTTATCACAATTTTTGCATGAGGTTATTTTGGATCAATTTTGTAAAATTGAGAGACTAACTTGAAGGAATATGATACTCTACGATTAAATTGGCAGCACACAAACAGTTGGGGGGAATATTTTGGGAGTTAATCTTAGCTTGCTATGTTATATGGATATAAGTTAGAGTTTAGACCTCTTGTAGCATGTAAATAGAGTCATGGGTGATGATTTATAATGTCATTCTGCATTGAGTTGAATAAAGATAATGACGATTAGTATGATGGACAATACATGTTTCTAAATTTTGTACCAGCTGGAAGTTCAAAATAATTGTGTGGTACAACCAGCCTCCCATTCCCTCCTTTGATTTTTACTGGAGTATGATTAATAAGTGGCTTCACGGGCAGACTGGTGTTCCTAACTTATGATTTTCGTTTCATTTTCAATTTTCAGTTATTTTAATAACTGATTGGTTAATGGGTAACAACTGGCCAAGAGGTCATTGGTATTAATGAACTTCTACCTACTACGATGCATTTGCTTAAGATTCATTGAAATATTATTTGTTAAAAAATGTAGCGGTTGAAACATAAACTGGTTCTTGATTTATTTATACACAGTTGCGTCATCATAATTTTTAATGGCATCGGTATTTGCATCATCATCAGCTCTTATTCCAAATAGGCATTCATTTCTGTTAAGAATGACTAGTGCTACTTATCCTTATTCCTTCTCAAACCCTTATCATTTTTTCTTTCCGGCTTATATTTCAGGATAATCTTTAGTTTTTTAACTATTTAAAGTTTATTTTTTTCTTGAACCATTTTGATATGTTTTCTTCAAATGCTGATTTATACTTTCATTGCCAATATTTTGACAGATATGATTATCTTGGAAATTACTTTGAGCAGACATATCACTGCTATCCTACATCCTTTATTGATAAGGTATGAGCTGCTTTTTTTGCTGTATCCCTAGTAAAATTTTCACGCTTCATTTTGTAGCAAAGTCAGCCATTTACCTTATTCATGTTTTATTTTAACATGCTTTTTTACTATTTTGCAAATATTATGTCATTGTTATTTAGATCGAGAGGCTTTATTTACTTACCACACGTTGTAAGAATGTTTGCCAAATAAACATATTAAACAACTTCACCTAATTGATTCGTCACCGTGAAAACTTTGTTTGCTTTGACAAATTTTGTTTCTTTGTCTGTTTTGATTCTCTTGCTCAAATTCTAATTAAGTTCTCAGAAACTTGCCATTGTACTTATTTTAGGCATTGTTGTACCTTCCGATGACACTTTTATGGTAGAAATCTGAACCCCATCACATTAATTTCTAAGAAGATTTACATACATACCACTCAATTCCTGTGTATTTATATATCTAACACCTATATCTAACACCTCTAACACCTAAACTTCAATTTTTACATACTTGTCACCTTACCTATGCATTAAAAGGTTTATTTCACTTCTTAGAAGTTACAATTGGTAGCATTTTTCATGAAATATGAAAGATTTGGCTGGTATCTATTGAGTGTGGTATTTTTGATGAAACGTGAAAGTTTTGGGTGGTATCTATTGAGTGCTACATGAAACGAACAAGATTTGGGTGGTATCTATTGAGTGCTACATGAAATGAACAAATTTCACCCTAAGTCCTCAAATTTATATTAAAATTATTAGTGACATGTCTGATAGAGCCTGAAATTAGAATTTCATTTAGTACTCGATTAACTAAAGATTTTTCAATTACAGTAAAATTACATTAAGAATTAGTATAATACTTCACTGTGTACAGTGTTTTTTAACTGTAGTACTTCACAACAATATTTTCATGTCTGTATTTATGATAAGTCTGTATCTATTCTAACAAACATTTTCTCTATATACAATGTAGTACGTGAGTAATATTTAGGAGAAATAGAAAAAATTCATTCCAATTCAAATCAAGATTATCTAGTCAAAGAAGACAGAGAGAACTTATAATCTGGATAATTTTATGGGGCAGTTTGTTTGCAAGCAGGATTTAACTTAAATGGGATTTAGTAAATCTTATATATTCAGATTTAATAAATCTTAAGACTGTAAAATCTTGAAAACTATTTGGTATGATAGAAGTTAAATCCGGTTAAATCTTGGTGAATTGTTGGACAACTTATTTCAGAATCTAAGTTTATTAGTCCAAATAAAATGTTAATATTAATTTTTAATGATTAATTTTATAATTGATTTAATTTTAATTGATAATAATTATTATTTTAATTATATTAATAATTAATTAGTTATTTAAAATTTTATTAATTATAATTAAGTATACTAAATTATAATTAGCTTAATGTAATATATTAATTACTTTTTAATTATTATTCAAGTAAATTAATTTAAAAAGTAGCTTCAATTAAATTTAAAACAATTTCAGTTTAATAATATCTTTATTAATAATAATTTATTAAATTATAAATTAATTAAATTTAAAAAATTTTAGCTAACCAAATAAAAACACAATAAATCCTTTTTCTTCTCCCCTTACTGCTCCTACTCAAAATCAAAACCTAGAGCAGAACAAAAACCCACCTTTCTCCTTCACCTCCTACTATTTGCAACCCTCAAAGAAAAGAAGTGAGACTTATGCATCTTAATGCCCGGCTTTGCCCCATATATTTCTGAGCTGAAATTTGCGAAGAAAAGGATGGACAAGATTTGAAGCGAGGCAGTTTTGACATTCTCCACCTTCATGCGCTTATATTGCTTAATCTTGAATTTTCGGATTCAGTAAATCCGGGATTTACAACGAAAGGAGGTAAGCACATGATTTAAGATTCCATAGGATCTAAGTAGTCATTTTTGGCAGGATTTAGGTTAAATCCAGCTAACAAACATCTCGTGGATTTCACTAATGATCAGTGTAATGAAGAGGCTCTCACTTCATAGTTAATTACTATACACTTCATAGTTAATTACTAAACTTTTTTAGGCATTCTAAATAAAAATTATCTCAAACCCTGCTTTGAAATACTTAATAAATTTTATATAGTAACCTAAGGCATCAATCCACTCCATATGTGGTAGCAGCCCTATATGATTGAATCCTCTTGATGGTTCTAATAGTCACACTTTTCATTTGGATTTTGTAACATCCTGAGTGCGTGTGTTTAATGGTTAAGTTATAGTTGTGAATTTTGTTATGCAACACCCCTTGCCTAATTTGTTATGAATTTATGTTGGAACTCATGTTATTCATTGATTGTGTGATACTTTTTTTTCTTATTCTTGCAGCCACAGCTGGAAGGTGGTGACAAAAGTATGTTGCATGAGCTCTTTCTATCATTTTTAATCTTTGATATTGTATTAATTTCTAGTCTTTTGAACACATTTACTGAATTTGCTTGATGCTATTACAGTTATAATGCCTCCTTCGGCCCTAGACCGTCTCGGTATGTGATAAAAAATTTACCTTCTTGAGAAGAAAAACATTATATGTCCCAAGAGCATCCTACCCACCTGACTCTGTTAAGACATATGTTGGTGATTTGGAGCAACCAACAATTTGACAATTCCTCTACAGCATCTTTGCATATTGAATATCCAATGTTATTTGAATTGTGCAATGCATCAACTCAACGGACTTCTCATTGTGGTGTCCTGGAGTTTATTGCTGAGGAAGGGGTGGTTTACATGCCATATTGGGTATTTTTCTTCAATGGATGATTTTGTCCCCAGAATTGTCTTTTCTTAACTAAAATGGTTTCTCATGACAAGTTTGCATTCCTTCAAATGTTTAACAGATGATGCAAAATTTACTTTTACAAGATGGGGACATTGTGCAAATCAAGAATGCTACCCTACCGAAGGGAACATATGTCAAGTTGCAGCCACACACAAAAGACTTCTTAGACATTTCAAATCCCAAGGCCATGTAAGTTTGACCTCTTCTTGGCTTATTTGTTATATCTGGACGATTCTGCTTGGAATAATGCATATGAACGAACTAGTAACCTATTCTTCTTTGAACTTGAAGCTTGGAAAAGACATTGAGGAACTGCTCCTGCCTCACTACGGGTGATAGTATCATGGTTCCATATAATAATAAGAAGTATTACATAGATATTGTGGAAACAAGGCCTAGTTCTGCAATTAGCATTATTGAGACAGATTGTGAGGTCAATTTTGTACCCCCGTTAGACTATAAAGAACCTGAAGTATCCCAGCCATCTGTTATATCTCAAAAATCACAACATCAAGGTACTTATTCTCATTTCCATCTTGCTACCCTATATTCTTTTTATTTTTTATTTTTGCTCTTTTATAAATACTTGCTCGGTTTGTTGGGACTGTTTGATGATGTGATTGTAACTTTATGCAATTTCTAACTTAATTTTCTTTCTTACTGCTAATAATTATTCCAGGATTCTTGAACATGGTTGTTCGAAGCTAAGCTACTGTCATCACAGAAAGTGGTGGCGTATTTTGATGTCGAATATTTATAGAGCAAATTTTGATATGTTTAACATGTTGCAATCATGTTAGTTTTTTTTCCCCATGGATTAACATGATAGGATAGCTGTAGGGTATGCAGAAAGTTCACTAAGTTATGTGACAGAACCCAAGCGCTAACCAGGGTTCATAGGCATGTTACTTTTGATGTTCTGCGTGATGGATTTTCCATAAGGGATTTTATGATGTATCACACCTTATGTTCTCTAGGTATAAAATAGAATAATTTCAGGATTTTATGTATCTTTTTGAGTTTTCTATGCTTCTATTATGGATATGGGTTGTATATTAAGGATGCTTTGGCTATTAATTATTTAGACAATGGTTCCTTTTTTAGATATTGGTCTCTGTATCCCGAGTGATGTTTGAATAGAGCTACTAAAATATACCACCCTTGTTGATTCGGCTTTGAACTTTTTGACCATTATGCTCGTTTACCCACTTCGGACCTCTTCTTAAATATTAATATTTCTTCATTGCATTGTATGGTTAAATTTATTATTGGGATAATTACATACGTAGCACTCGAAACTTTGCTATTTATAAAACTAGTATCCATGTTATTTTTTTAAACTACCATACCGGTGCATTTACGCATGTGACGATCAAACCATTGGGATTTCATACAACAATAGTAACAACAAAAACAAAAACAAGTTTTTATTCCACTAAATGGGGTTGGCTACATAAATCTTTTTTCTCCATTGTTTCCTATTGAGTTTCCTATTATCATTAAGTTAGGGTTTTATTTTGAATTTTAATATTTGAGTGAAAATTTGAAACAGATGAAAGTGGTTTGCTAATTTTGTAAATAGCAAAGTTTCGAGTGCTACGGATGTTTCACTTCTACACCTTTCGCACATGGATCCGGAAATCTTTTGCATTTTTTTTTCAATAGCATTATTGTCATAATGCATAGCCCTTAAAACATGGATATTTACAAAACTAACGAAATTCTTCATTTTTTTTAATTTCTTACTCAAACCTGAAATTGCTTAGTGAAAATCCTAATATATTTTGCAAATTCCTTATGATTTGATGGTGGCACATAATTATATGAGTTTGCTTTTTTTTTAGTGAGTGGTAATAGCTTTCTAAGGTAGATTTTAGTGGTTTGTAAATCTCTTGCAATTATTTGTGTTTGATAGCTTGCGAGTGCAAATCATTGCATGCTTGATTGTGTTTCTATTTTGTGAAAAGTAGGATTGAATTAGCAATTGTGTTTTCATTGCTTCTTTAATTATTTTGATATTTTTTTCTCTCTTTGCATTTAGGAAACCCTAAGGCATTATATATTGTCCATCGCATTTATGTTGAGCATATAGTTTCTAATATCCGTAAACTTAAAAACTATTGTGAAGAAACTGCGAAAATCGGTTCGAGAGATCGAAAGTAAAAACTTATAACAGATGCACACGAAGTAAAAAAAATATTAAAATTTGCAGAGAATACCAAGATTTAATGTGAAAATACTCGAGAATGAGAAAAAATCACGAAGCCACTCCACACCAATAAATTCACTATGAGAATGAAGAGAAATGTGCGGATTACAACACACTCAAGTCTCTCTACACTCCTGAAACTCAAGAACAACACTTTGGATGCTCCTCTCTTTCGCTTAAGGGATCTTGAAATCCAACAGTGCGCACACTAAAATTCATAGTGAGGCCAAAGACTTAAATCCCTAATTGGTAGAAACAGTTGCAATAGTCGGAGCGCCAGTTCCGAGTGTTGGGTTTCCAAGTTCTCGGGTACATGAAATGATCCGGGTGCAGTTGCACTCCTTGGGCGACGCATTTCTCTGCCCTCGGATTCAGGAAATGTCTTGCGGTGCACCTAAGCACCACTCTAGGCATCAGGTTTTCTGGCTCCTTGTTCCTGAAGGGTATGTTGGATGCCTAGGCGCTACCAGGCGATGGAGCACTCCCTCTAAGCAGTGGAGCACCCAACCAGGCATAGGGACTCCCCTCATTTCTACCATCAAGCTCCTTTCTACAATCAGTCTCCGCACATAACAATCTTCAACTTGGAGGCAAATTACAAACAATTCCTCTCCTTTAATTGGTACCCTTCATAGTAACGAATTGTATTGTTGCTCAACCCCCTCAGTCTCAACCTTTTTAAACTCCAACTGAAGCTATACATAGCTTCAATTTTTTAGTTGTAACAACTTTAGTCAATATATCTGTAGTATTTTGAGCTGTGTATCTTTTTCAAAGATAACTGACAATCTTCTAGGAGTGAACAAATAAAATAATATCTTAGGTGAATGTGTTTTATCCTGATATGAAATACAATATGCTTTGCTAGATAAATAACTATCATGTTGTCATTATGAAGTTTTCTAGTTCCTTGCTCCTTGCCCAGTTTTAACATGAACTCTTATAGTCAAATCACCTCCTTGCTAGTCTCAGTGATAACAATGTACTCAACTTGTGTAGTAGAAAATCTAACTATCTTCTACAACTTGGAAATGTAACTCACAGTGGTGTTCCCCAATGTGAAGATAGAACCTATTGTACTTCTTCTATCATCAATATCTTCTGCGAGATTTGAATTTATATAATCTTGTAGATTAGTCTCTGCACCACCAAAACAAAGTGCCTTGTTGATTGTACCTCTCAAGTATTTGAGAATCAACTTTGCCGCCTTCTAATAATGTTTCTCTGGATTGCCCATGTAGCTGCTAATTACTCCCAGTGTATATGCAGTATCTGAGCTTGTACATATCATCACATACATTAAACTTCCAATAGTTGAAGCATAATAGGTTTCTTTCATCCATGCTTTTTCTGCTTCAAACTTAGGAGATTATTTCTTAGATATTAAAGTGATTACTTAAGGGGGTGTAAATTGGTTTTACCTTCGTCTTGTTGAACTTGTGTAGACTTTTCTCAACATATTCTTCCTGAGATAATTTAAAAATACCTGCACTCTTGCCTCTGTTGTTCTCACACCGAGGACCTTTTTAGTTGGACCTAAATTTATCTCAAACTTCGTTGATAATTGATCCTTCAAGCTCTTAATTTTTTTCATATTTGTTACCGTAATTAGCATGTCATCCACATAAAAAAAAACACAATATAATGATTACCAAATTTTTTTGTGAAACAACAGTGATTATTTTGGCACTTCATGGACCCATTGTTTGACATAAATCTTTCAAATCTTCAACACCACTATTTTATGGCCTGTTTCAAACCATAAATGCTCTTCTTCAGTTTTCAGATATTGTCTTCTTTTCTTGGAATTTCATATCCCTACGATTGTACCATATACAACTTATCTTCTAAGTCATCATGCAGGAATGTTGTCTTCAAATCCATTTGCTCCAGATGTAGATTTTTGTATGCTATTAAGCTCGACATAACTCTAATAGTTATCATCTTCACTATATAATAAAATATTTCAGTGCAGTCCACTTGTTTTTTTTGAAACCCCTTTAAAACAAACCTTACTTTTAACACCTTCTAAAATCCTTATTTTCTCTATGTAAGCTCGCTTATTATGCAATGCTTTTTGTCATCTGATAATTATGCCAACTTTCATGCCTGATTTGACCTCGAGGACTGCATCTCATTATCCATGACAAACTCCTACTCCTTTAAGTCTTCAACTTGAGTGACCTCTTCATAAAATTATGGTTTATCACTATGAATTAGCAAAAGATAGTACCGAGAAGGAGAATCCCTGTATCGGTCGTGTGAGTTTGCTAGACCTCTAGCTTCCGTAGCAAGTGCTTGAGGAACTTTTTATGCTTCATCAGATTGAGCATTTTTTCTTCCTATATTCCTGATCATCAGTATCTTCAATCTTAAATTTTTGGGAGGCTCTTTAGGAGTAACTGATAGAATCAAGAGTTTTGTTTTTGTCATTGTACATCTCTATTTCAATAAAAGTCACATCCCTGCTCCTAATGAATTTTTTATTCTGAAAATCCCAGAATTTGTACCCAAATTAATCTAAGCATGCCCAATGAAAGCACATTTGACATATTTCAAAATTAAGCTTACTTCTGAATCTTGCATCAACATGAACATATAATAAACAACCAAATACTTTCTGGTGAGATGGTTCTGGTGAGATGGATTTATCTTCTTGCCACTCCAGGCTCTTTCAGGTAGACCTTCATTCAATGGTACTGATGAACCACAATTTATAAGATGAAATGTAGTATTTACAACTTCTGCCTTGAACTAATCTGACAAGCTTGTATGCAACCTCATACTCTTGATATACTCCGTGATGGTTATATTCATGTGCTCGACCACATCATCTTGTTGTGTTGTCCTTAGAACAATGAACTCATGCTTGATTTTCCTTGAAACACAATCATTTTTGAATGTCTAATCACGATACTTGTCACCATTATATGTTCTATGACACTTCAATTTCAGGGTTGTCTCATTCTCAACCATGGCCTTATTCTTCTTAAGCACATCAAACCTATCAGATTTATATTTTAAGAAGTACACCCTTACCTTTCTAGTGTGATCATCAATGAAAGTAACTGTATAAGGAACCTCTAATATACTGAACTTGAGTAGTCCCCGTACATTAGTATGTATTAACCTCGACTTTTAATATTTTACTTTTGACTCATTTTTTTAGAAAGTAATATTTTTTTGATTGACATAAATATAATTTTCACGAACATCTAACTCTATTGAATTTAAACCATGAAGTTTGTTCTTAAAAAGTAGTGACTTCATACATTTCTCACTCATATCACCAAGTATGTGGTGCTA